TAAACAATCAAAACGGATATTATTACGTGCTATTTATGTTATAGTGGAACACACCTATTCTATTGTTAATAGACTCTCCGACCTACAATAAGTAGGAGTAGTGGGAGTCGCTCAGGGAATTCGGTCAGTAAGTCGATGCCGGACGACCGTTAGTCGGATACTAAAGTATCAGCGACTACAACTAGATTACTCTGCATCATACCTATTATATCAAGTTCCTAACGTTTTGTACGTCGAACCTATTTTAGGACCGACTTAGTACAAATACAAGCCACCACTGTTAAACCGCTCCATAACAATTTATTACCAAACTCTACAACATGAGAACTCTATAAGTAAACGCCTAATCATCATCACCATCATCGCCAGACCCATGACCGTGGTCAATGCCCAGCTGAGCATTTGACCAGTTCCCTGCGCATATCTGCGTTGAAAGGCTGGGGAGATATCTATCCACGTGTCACGTTGTCTTGGCCAACTAGACCCGACGGAGCCCGTCCCTCTCCAGGCGAAAACTCCAACTTGAAGGCTCGCCTTGGTCACAGGGAAAAATCTCGACACTGGCCGATGACTTCTATCTCTGAAACCTTCCACCCAGCGATATGATTGTTTCATCACCGCACTGGCTGCGCGTATATACGGGGCTTTGAATCGCAGTCTCCCGCATTTTGCTAGATTGCCGTCATCCACCCTTTCACAGGTTCTCTTTTAATCTGATCGCCTCATCCGAAAAGCTTGGTGGGGGAACTGGTATAGTTGCCGATGACCCGACCAGACGGTAAGTAGTACTGTCTCACATGGTCGCTTTTAGCACTTTTAGATTGACCTAACATGAATATGGAATTGTCCAAAAATTAGTATACTCTGCAATTTTTTTTTAACTCCAAGCAAGGCAACAAAGCTACTAACACGCAGATTGTTACTGAGGGTGAAATAATATAAGAAAAAAACATTAAGGAGGGAGAACAATGAAAGAACCGACATTAAGAAGACAGAAGATTATAACTGACATTGCATTAACATTTTTGAATATCAATCATGAAAGCTAGAATCCGGAAGAGAGTTCCACAAGCGAGAAAAGAAACTGTTAGCATAAAACTTACAGTTACAGCTAGTCATTTCAACAGTAAAATGAGACCTAGCTGCCAATCTAGTACCGCGCTTAAATTCGTAATGTCTACATACCAAAGAGGAAAGTTCATCAGAACAATTACTATGAAAATATTTATTCTTACAAAATTATAATGTCATGTCCCTTAAGAATGTAGGTGATAATGGCTTTTTTGTTTTAATAGTCTCACAAGTATTGTACTAAAGTCTGGCGATATGGTGTGGAACACCAGCCTGTTGAAGACATGCCATGACAATGTGGGCACGATAAAGAATTACATAATCTATAAAGATTAAGTTTTGGTTCATGGTGATGCGACTGAGGGATGATAATTGTGTCCATAATACTTCACATGTAAGACATGACCAGTCTACTACTGTGCTTAAATTCTTTATCTTAAAGTATCTTTAGCAAATTTGAATATTTAGTTCACTACACAATGTTAAGCTATTTCATATTTACAATATATATAAACGTTTATTTAAAAAATGGCTCCATCTGAAAAAGATCTCTCGCCTAACTTTAAGGAACGTATTTACGCAAACGGAACAACGTCTACCAAATTATAGCTACTAGAATAAATTTAGTAAAAAAAAAATAACATTGAAAGAAAACAAGAAAAGTTTAATGTACGGAAGTGATCGTGTCGACTATGTAAGCATATCCCAAGATCTCTTGGCAGTCGTGGGAAGAAGCTGTTAGAGTGGAAGTTAAATCTCGCCAAGGGAATATAAAATAAGGGTGGTTCGGTACAATGTGCGTGGTATGGCGGGTCTTAGTCCGTCAAGGTTAGGACTGGTGGAACGATACAGGAGAGAGACGTTTGCGACGTCTCATCTGTAAGAAAGGGGCTGTAGGATGTAAAATGATTCATCATCCACAAGGATGCGATTGTAATATTTTTTTATATAATAATAGTTTAGTGACAAAATTCTTACTAATTAGCCCATATCTGAGAGCAAAACGGTGTATTGATACCTTTCTGTATATGCATATATGAGTCTATCTCTCTCTCATATATCTATCTATCTATCTATCTTTCTATCTACGTATCTCTCTCTCTCTCTCTATATATATATATATATATATATATATATATATATATATATATATATATATATGTGTGTGTGTGTGTGTGTATAGAAAAAATATAGTCTTAATGTGTGCTATATTTATAGGATAAACTGCTCAATATCAGAGATAGAGTGTGTAAAAATAAAAGTGAACATTGAAGTCAACACAATGGAGGCGAAAGTATGTTTCCTTCTAGACGCACTCGTCAGGCCACGAGTTGTCGTGGTCTGACGAGTGCTTCTAGCATGAAACAGACTGTCGCCTCTAAGTGTTGACTTCAATGTTCACTTTTATATATATATATATGTGTGTGTGTGTGTATGAGAGCAAAAAAGTGTATTGATACCTTTCTGTATATGCATATGCATATATGTGTCAATCTCTCTCATATCTATGTATCTATCTATCTCTTTCTCTCTCTCTCTCTCTCTCTCTCTATATATATATATATATATATATATATATATATATATATATATATATATATATATATATAATGTTAGTGTGTATATAATCACATTTGTGGGAAAATGTGCGACTGGTTAGCTGAAAAGATACACAAACATTCACAAAAAAAACTAATGACGACAAAATCTATTTGTTACATGCATGCCAACTTTGTGCCAATGTTTTTTAAAAAATATCCGGTTTAAACAACTACATCCGTTCAAAGCACAACTAAGTTTCATAATGACATCTTGTGATGGTCATATATCACAATGATCTGCCAGCCATTTCTCTCTCTCCCACACACACACACACACGCACGCGTGCGCACACACACCTACACACACATACGTGTGTGTGTGTGTGATTTAAAAAATATTTTGTACATTAAATATTTTTAATTTAGAGTTCGCACGACCCTCATCTTTTTCATGATCATAAGAGATATATACTTATGCATGATGGTGAGCTAATCGTTTCCGCCTTTGCTCTTTTGCTGGGCTAATTTGTTAATCCCTGTTACAGACACCAGCTTAGGCACATTTGTATTTCGCCAAAACTCACATAAGCTGCAACTATGATTGGCCGAACTGATATTCTAGGAGGGACCACACGATTTGGCGAGATCAATGTTTGAACAAGTCGAATATGCTTAAATCCTTTGTTATGCTGATCTTAGGCCAAACGCTGGTGGCTTTCGAACAATTTCGTCTGCCCAATTTCCCTTCATATGGCTTAGGTCAACTTTCCAACAATTGCCGCATGTCGGATTTATCTTCCAGGTCGATATTATCAAGCAGTCATTTCATTGACAAAACAACCGTGGTGGGATTCGAACTTGCCTCTTTCTCTTAATTTTATTTATTTATTTCATTTTCTTACTGTCTGCATTTTTATATTCATCTTTGTCTTCCATCCTGCCCTCTGTTTCGTACTCTTCATTTTATTCTTTCTTTTTATCTTTGTTATATATATATATATATATATATATATATATATATATATATATATATATATATTAATATTATTAAAGACATTTTTATGTTTAACGTTCTTATTTATAGATACAAGTATTTAAGTAAATGCTCTGTTTATAATAAACAGTATTAAATAACATTTAACGGCCTGAATGTCCAAGAAATTTTTCATAGAAAATATTCGTCCTTTGACAGGATTAGAACCTGCATCCTATACGGAACCGTCATTTACGCTGACGTGCCTTACCAATCGGCCACAAAGGAGCGTTCGAATTTACTGCTTATAAACTTCAATCTTCCATGAATCTCGTACATTCGTAACTGCTCTGGCGTATCAAATGTAAACAAATGACGTCATATATTAAGAAATGGACAAAGTCCGACAATTTATTTTATTAAAGACATTTTTATGTTTAACGTTCTTTTTTATAGATACAAGTATTTAAGTAAATGCTCTGTTTATAATAATCCGTATAGGATGCAGGTTCGAATCCTGTCAAAGGACGAATATTTTCTATGAAAATTTCTCGGACATTCAGGCCGGTAAATGTTATTTAATACTGTTTATTATAAACAGGGCATTTAGTTAAATACTTGTATCTATAAAAAAAGAACGTTAAACATAAAAATGTCTTTAATAAATAAATTGTTTTGACTTTGTCCATTTATATTAATATATATATATATATATATACTATTTACATTATTCGGACTATTGTCCTCATCTTTGTCGCCATATTTATTGCAACGTTGTACGCTCCGGCCTTCTTCAGGTGGTTGGAATGTCGAACTGAACCCTTTATTTCGTTCAATGGGGTAGACTGTTCTAGTTCCACGTGCCATGTTTTAATGGATGTCAGTTATCAGTTATCTCCTGTTAATTCCCCTCTCAAAGTTCTCCATCGCCTTAACCAGGTATTGAACTCAAGGACACATGGCATAGTGGATAAAGGCATTGGTTAGATCCAGTAACAGTACCCAAAGAGTGTGAGTTCAATACCTGGTTAAGGCGGTGGAGAATAAATATGGCGATAAAGATGAGGACAGCAGTCTGAATAAGGTAAATAGTGTACATAATGCTTCATCTCAGAAATATACACATAGCTTGCTAGCTAGCTAGCTAGATAGATAGATATTCTCTGTTTCTAATTGCATTCTTCATTTCTTTTCTTTTTATTTCTTTTTACATGACCAGATCGCTAACGATAACCCTCTAACCACTCAGCCATATATAGAAATTAAAACTGCCTGCAGTTGATTTAAGGTGAAAAATATGGTGACTGTATCATCGTACTGGTGACCGGGGTCGATGCGATTGTGGTATTCTGATGTACGCGACGAAGTCCCTAACGTATCGTTTATATATCGCTAACTAACAAATTGAAGTGCAAATGGAAAATTTCAAACTCCGAATCCGGTGCGAGAACAAGCGCTCTCCAGTAAGGGAAGATAATAATTACTGTTTATTTTGATGCTTTCATTCGCCCTTTGTATTCTGATGACCAGGCACTTAAAGGCCAGTCCAATCATTATTTCATCTGTATTTCCACTTGTTTCGTACGAATTTTCATTCCACTCTCAATTTGTTCTTCCCACCTTCCTAAATCGAGGCCGTTCGCTTTCATTCATTTCACCTTTTCTTTCTCTCTTTCTTCTTTCTCTTTCTTTCTTCTTTTTCTTTCCTTCATTCTTTCTTTTTCTTTCTTTATTTTTTCTTTACTTTCTTTATATTTATTTCTTTATTTTTCCTTTCTTTATTTTTCTTTATATTTATTTCTTTATTTTTTCTTTCTTTATTTTTCTTTTCTTTCTTTATATTTATTTCTTTATTTTTTCTTTCTTTAATTTTTCTTTTCTTTCTTTATATATTTAATGTTTAATTCTTCCATTTTTCTTTTTCCTTTCAGAAATTTTATTTTTATATACTTTTCACTTTTTCCTTTTTTCGATCCCTTTTTTCTTATATCCTGCATTTCTTTTATTTGTTTCGTTTTTCTTTCTTTTATACTTTTACTTCATTTCTTCATTCATTTATAATTTCACTTCGTTTTTCTTTCATTTCCTCTTTTATACTTTAGCTTCTTCCTTTCTTTTAATCAGTTATAATTTCGCTTCTTTCATTCCCTCTTTTATACTTTCGCTTCTTTCATTCTATCTTTTACACATTCGCTTCTTTCATTCCCTCTTTTATACATTCGCCTCTTCCTTTCTTTCAATCTGTTATACTTTCCTTTTTTTCATACCCTCTTTTATATTTTCGATTCATCATTCCCTCTTTGATACCTCCCCTTCTTTCATTCGCACTTTTATACTTTCGCTTCTTTCATTCCATTATTTATATTTTCGTTTCTTTCATTCCACTTTTTATATTTTCGCTTTTTTCATTCATTCTTTCATACTTTTGCTTCATTGATTCCCTATTTTATCCTTTCTCTTCTTTCATTCCTCCTTTATACTTTCACTTCTTTCATTCTATTATTTATACATTCGCTTCTTTTATTCTCTCTTTCATACTTTCGCTTCTTTCATTCCATTATTTATATTTTCGTTTCTTTCATTCCACTTTTTATATTTTCGCTTTTTTCATTCCTTCTTTTATACTTTCGCTTCTTTCATTCCATTATTTATATTTTCGTTTCTTTCATTCTACTTTTTATATTTTCGTTTCTTTCATTCCACTTTTTATATTTTCGTTTCTTTCATTCCACTTTTTATATTTTCGCTTTTTTCATTCCTTCTTTTATACTTTCGCTTCATTCATTCCAATATTTATTTTTTTGATACTTTCATTCCCCCTTTATACTTTCGCTTCTTTCATTCCATTATTTATATTTTCGCTTCTTTCATTCCCGCTTTTATACTTTTTCTTCTTTTTACTTTCTTTTATAATTTCATTTCTTTCTTTACTTTTTTAATTTCCTATCTCTTTCGAATTATATTCTTCCCTCTTTGTATTCTTTACTATCTTTGTACTATGCTTTACCAACCTTATTTATTAATTCATTCCATTTACTTTTGGTAACTCTACTTTCTTTCTAACATTTTCCTTCTTTTTCTTTCTTACCTGTTATATTACACTTTTTCTTTGACATTCTCTTCCATTTTCTCATTCCTTTTCATTCAATCTTTTTTTCTTTACTTATTTGTCTTTTTATTTTTATATCCTATTTTCTTCTTTCCTTGAAATGATCAAAAGGCACAAAGTCTTAAATAAAACCATTCTCTTTTGCCTCTGTTTTTCCCATTATTCTTATGATTAGTGGAATATTAAAAAATATCAGCACATTTTTACGATTTCTATTCATTGTCATAATTAGGTTTAATTAGGTGTAAATAAACATTGATCTGGTTTACTGAACTCTTTTCGTGATACTGGGATATATATATATATATATATATATATATATATATATATATATATATAAACTTAATTTATTTTAGGATATTACATAAATAAATACATTGAATAACGCTACACAAATGCAATCCTGTTTTGATGTGTATTAACACATCTCATCAGACTATATGTGCATGTATGTATATATGTATGTTTTTCATATGTAATGTATTTGTACTGTGGTGATGTGTGTCCATATGTGGATATGTGTATTGGTATGTATATGTATGTAGCTGTATTATTTATATACATGTATGGGAATATTTTTGTACGTATTTTTATTTAGTGTTATTTGCTATATATGTATATATATATTTATATATATATATATATATATATATATATATATATATATATCCCTATTTATGTACATATATGTAAATTCTTTTTTCTTTTTTTTTCTTTTTTTGCTTACACATTTATTTTCATTGTGTGTGTTATTATTGCTATGTATATATTAGAAATGGAATAGAAGATAGATATAATTTCACCAAATTTGATACTACATGTTAGCTATGTAATATAAAATGTTTCTCATATATATATATATATATATATATATATATATATATATATATACACTAGCATGGGCCGGCGTTGCCCGTGCTTGATTCCAAAATACTATGACTCATGCAGCAATCACTATCACTTAACTTAAAATATTTTTGCCCTTCCTTGCCTTTAAAAGAGTGCCCTTTGCCGTTCTGATGTTGCTACAAACATTACTTCTTGACTATCTCACACTGAGAATTTTTTCTAAGCTCTATACTAAACATTAAATCTGTTACGAAAAAAGAACTAAACAAAATGAACACAAAACGATCAGCTTTAAAAAAGGACTCGTAACTGGAAAAACCGAATGAAAAAAGAATGTTAACAACAAATACTTTTTCACACCCAACCCAGTTCTGCGGAATCAGAATCAACGTTTAGTTTAAGCAAGCGAATGAGCCAATTGGAGCAAAGTGCCATGCAGATTTAAATTTTTTTTTTTTCTTGTGACGAATGCAGCTATCGATTTTTTTTTTTGCATGCTAGCATGCTAGTTAACATTCGTGTCAGTCAGCTGTTGGCTCTCACGCTGGCCAATAGAATCTTCCTGCTTATTCGTGGCAGCCAGCTATAGGCTCTCACTCTGGCCAGTACAAAATGGCCACAAACTACATGAAAACTGCCGTAGAAGCATGAAAAAAAATCGATTATTTCCACTATCGATAGGAGTTGGGAAATGCAAAGTCAGTCTTGGCCTTCCCGCTAACTTGGAGCATGTGCATGTAAATTTTGGTGCAAATTCGTCGAAAATTGCGGCCGTGCATTCGTTACACACACACACATACACATCCTGCCTATTATATATATATATATATATAGAGAGAGAGAGAGACAGAGACAGAGAGAGAGACGGATGCATGTCTGAATTTAGAATGTAAATGTAAATTTCTAATTTTTGTAGATATATACTTGCTTGTTTCTTTGTCTCTTGTTAACTTTATTTAGATTATGTAATTCATGACTATTATTATTATTTTCTTTGATTTCTGGCGTTTACACATTTCTTTCCGGGTCCCGCCCAGAGACCTAAGGTTAGAAATGGCATCATGACACTTTCCACTGACAAAAAAAAAAATTACATAGATAAAGCCCTTCGTAAAGTGTGGGCTGTACTTGTCAGAACAATATTTTGTATCTCCTTGAGGCATAGACTTCCAGGAATCCCTTCAATTAATCTACTGCAATCTTTTCCAACCAGTCCAAGGGCTCCAACTACAACAGGGATTGTTGATGTTCCCATATGCTACATTTTTTAGATTTCTATTTCAAGGTCCTAGTATTTTGACAGCTTTTTGAATATCTTCCAAGATACATTGCAGTTTGCAGGGACTGCCATATCAATAAGGAGGCACCGTTTTTGTTTGTGGTCTTTAATAACAATATCTGGGCGGTTGGCTTTGATTGTTCTGTCAGTGTGTATGGTGTAATCCCATAGAATTGTAACAGGTCCTATCTCCGTAACCGGGCTTGGGTGGTGTTCATGGTGTTTATTATTATTATTATGACTATTATTATTATTATTATTATAATTATTAAGACTTATTGTTATTATTTTTATTATTACGACTCTCATCATTATTTATTCTAATAATTAATAATATTGATAATCTTATATATTAAATGATTTAAAATAAATTAAATACAAATGTGTCATATTCTTAGGTGAAGACTAAACCAAGCAGAATATAGTTTCGATTGTATACAAAAATATCGCCAAATTTCTAACTTTCGTCGAATTCCGCTTTTCTTTTGCTTTTTTATGTCTTTTTAACTGTTAAGCAGCCATTTCTTTCCGCGATTCCTATCTTAAATTACGTCATCACGTCTACACTCCAGCACATACGTTTATACAACTGAAATTAACATCTATCCTTCTCATTTTCAAAAATTAAATATTTTCAGTATCCTCCTCTCTCTCTCTCTCTCTCTCTATCTCTAAATAAATACTGTTTCTTTCCTTCCCTACCCTTCCACAATCTTAGATCTTCATATTTAACATATTTTTTAAGGCTGGAAAAATCTTTTCTATTTATATTTGTGTAACGAGGTCTGAAGAGTTGGGGTCGAATTTTTCAACCTTAACAAAATAGATATCACTTCATGGTATTTTACGAGTTATATTATTATAACTCTCTTTTGTGGATCAGTTTTAATATTTTATATTAATAGAATCTACTTGTATTATTTATCCACTGATTTTTTTTGCCTGTCATATATATATATATATATATATATATATATATATATATATATATATATATTTACATTATTCGGACTATTGTCCTCATCTTTGTAGCCATATTTATTACAACGTTCCGGCCGTTGTACTCCTTCACATATAATAAATATGGCGACAAAGATGAGGACAATAGTCCGACCGAATAATGTAAATAGTGTACATAATACATCATCTCAGAAATATATATATATATATATATATATAAATAAAAAGGCTTAAACACTAATATTCCATGGTCATAATTTATTCCATTGGAATCGTAAATACGATCCAATTCATCAGACCTACAAATTCAAAAATTTTTGAATTTGTAGGTGTAATGAATTTGATCGTATTTACGATTCCAATGGAATAAATTATGACCATGGAATATTAGTGTTTAAGCCTTTTTATTATATCCTTACTCTGTCCTGGACATTGAGTTGTACCTGGATTCTCTCCTCTTGGAATTTTTTATTCAAAAAATATATATGTATGTGTATGCACCTATGTATATATATTTTGCATATGTATGTGTATATTTACCACTAATATTAGCATATATATATATATATATATATATATATATATATATATATATATATATTTAGTTATTTAATAGCCCTTATAATTTTCAGGCTCGACCCTGTGCCCACCTGGGCTTAAGAAACTGTCATTAAATCCGACCTACCTTAACCGACTCGGACACAAAGCAGACTTGCCGATTATGCATCAACACATAATGCATCACCGACAATTATATATAAACAGTCGAGCGAAAAAATGGCATGATGATTGCGCTTAAGCATGAAACAGACTGTGTATTGACTTCAATGCTCAATTCTATATTTACATACGCTATATCCCTGATACTGAGCATCCATAAATATAGTATACCTTTAGCTATATTTTATTATATATATATATATATATATATATATATATATATATATATATATATATATATATATATATATTTAAGTATTCTTCAAGTGGATATATCATATATTTAATATAAATTTACCATACATTCAATATTTATTTCGAATATTTATATTTTTCAAGTGACAAAATATGCCGGATTGATAAATAAAAATCAATTAATTTAGAAAATGACTTTGTTTACGTTTGGATACAAAACTGAGCTGATATGAAATTTTCAAGGGATTTAATACGAGAAGGATTTCACCTCAAGGCACGTTTCGTACTTTGTTTGGACGGCAAGGCTGCTCCGAGACGTTTAAGTCTCGTCGGATTTAACGATGGTTCCCACTGCCTAGGGGGACACAGGTCTGAATTCTACGGGAGAACGCATATTTTTCTTCAATAAGATTTATCGAATATTCAGGCAAGTAGACGAAAATAAATAAATGTACTGTTTAATACATAAGTGAAGCGTTTCCGAAAAATAACATTTAAAGTGATAAAAATATTCATAAATCTCTCTATATATCGGAATGTTAATCCATATATTCATATCGGTGTGTATAAACCTTTTCCCAGAGTGCACTATACTTAGGTAGATATCCATGAACCGTCATTTTGACCCTAGGTGCCATTGCATACATACATGATTTTAGGAACGTACTCTACATAAGTATCTAATGAATATAATATAAATAATACATGGTTGTCAGCAAAAGGGACAGTCTGAAATGGGATGGGGCTACATAATGGGGACGTATAAATCAAACAGATATTTAACAAGCTGTATAGTGTCGTAACAAACGACGGAAAATGTGAAAAAG